GAGAGAGAGAGAGAGAGAGAGAGAGAGAGAGAGAGAGAGAGAGAGAGAGAGAGAGAGAGAGAGAGAGAGAGAGTCCCACCGCGAACATGACGAAGTGCTGCAGATCTTCATCTTTATGATATTCTCTCTCATGTGTCTCATCTTTCCGTTATTCTTCTTCTTCTCCTTCCCTCTTTTCTTCTTCTACTCTTCTTCTTCTGTTTCTTTACCCTTTCTGCCTAATATTGTCTGCCTTCACTTCCATTTTGTATGCATGATGCTGTTTGCAGGCCTGCAAGCCCTGAACGCAACACCCCCCTTGCCACTCTCGACCTCGCCCCCCCCCCCCCCCCCCCCCTCCCGGCACACCCCTAAAAAAAAGTCCAACCCTCAAAGTTTTATTGCGGAATCCGACAGACCTCGGCAAGTGCAGTCGGATCCCGCTAAAAAAAGGAAAAAAAAAAAAACTCTGACCGTTTTTTTGGGCCATCCGGTTTGCCGGTTGACCCCCCCTGGGCCGGTCTGGACCCGGTTGGACCGGGTCAGCCCGACCGGCCAGTCGCCGGCCCAGCCCTGGTTTTGACATGTTTTGATCAATAATGAAAAAGTTGGCATTTCGTTGAATTCGTTGGACGCTTCATTTTAACTCCGACATTGTTTTTGTGTTAGGGTTTTAGAGTTTTTTTTTGTGATTTTTTTCGTTTTCTTTGGCCTGTTTCTTTTTTTGATGTTTGCACTATGGACCCATATCGTTTGTTTTTTTAAATTCCCTGCACCAGCACCCCCCCCAACCTCCCCCAGACCAAACACCCTGAAACAGCATTTACAGAGCACTTTCTGGGTGTTCAGGACCAGTGCGGCATGGCCCTGATCTCATTTCCGATAAATAGCCGGCAAGCCGCTGCCACCAACTGGCCCGCTGCAGATCGGTCAATGGTTGGGGTCAGCCGCCCGTTGGTGTGCAATCCTGGAGGGAAAAAATAAGGAAACGAACCTGGAGCTCTTGATATCTATACTCTCGGAACTGTCCGTGTGCCTTTTGTAGAGCTTGCATCAACGTCTTTTCCATGGCTTTCCGCCGATCAATCTGCATGTCCACAGGTAGGCATACATCCAAAAACCAAACTGTGCTCAGGAAACTAACTGGTTTGCAAAGCACTTCCCTTTCGGATGTCCTTAATCTGTTAAGTTGTGTTAACATCATTATAGGGTATTACTTAGCTCTGGAATAATCAAAATCACTCATTTGTGTCATTTCACTTGATTTAAATTTTAATTCAATTAATTGAATTTACTTCATTTCAATTTTGCAACCATGAGTACATGGGAATCATCACGCACTGCAACCTTTGTAGATAAGTGATGCAAACATCCAAAACCGACTTGTCATATGAGAACATGCCAGTGACTGAGGGGGGGGGAAGCCAAATCACATGGGAACAAATCTGAAACACCAACCAGATAATTATGAACCTAGTAACCAAAGACGGCCCAGCTCATCAAATGGCCCAAAGTATCTTCACAAAATCAACCAAACAACTGGGGAAATGGACTTCGTTCACCACTTCACTAATGGGGAGAGCTCCGGTGATCAACACATCAAACTATTGGGGGAGTCCTCTCATTTGCATGGTATGTTGCATTGACTTGGACCCTACCAAATCACTCTGTTTCTCAACTGAATAAGAAGGCTAGGGCATACTTATGCTGCGGCGACTCTAACAAACAAAACTATATTCCAAAGATAGCTTGGCAAGACCAAAACTCAAGAAAAGGAGACGGTGATGGAGCGGTGGATGTCCCACCTGAACGTTGGGCGGGATGCTGTCAACCCCATTCGATGGTTCACGGCCACAAAGGCCAAACCTGTGAAATTAGCCTCCTTGCAATGGCAGATTGAGCACCGCTGCCTTCCAACAAACAATTGGTTAATAGACAGGACGTACTTGGAACAAAAGGGTTTGCTGGTGCCGTGGTGCAAATCCTGCCTGGCCTCCTAACCTCACCACAAGATTCCCGAGACCATAGAACACATTTTCATGCAATGCCCTGGGCGCTGATGGGACAGAGTCTGGAGACAACTAGGCACTGAATCCCAGTGGCCTTGGGACTGGAGAGCACTCCTATGTGAAACCTGGTCCTCCCGCACACACAACACATTTGAAGATAATATGTTTAAGACAGGGAGGAGGGCAATCATTTGGGCACTCTGGAGAAAACGGTGTATCCACGCCATCGAAGGTGTCAGAATAGAGGGAGAAGAAGTTACTGAAATGATTAAACAAAATGTTCAAGATGAACTGCGGGCACATTGGTTGAACATGAAATCACAATTAGATAGTGTTTGCACAGAAAAGGACATATCTCAAGCTATTAAACAATTCTCAGGGGACTGGTTGGGGACTGAGTAAGGGGGTTGGATAGCCTATATTCGATGGGAAAAAGAGCCCCCTGCGGAGCACGGCCAAGGTGAACCAAGAAGAGATTACGCCCTTTGCTTCAAGGAATGGACCAGGACAGACCCCGCAATCCCGCTGCGCTCCTCCTCGGAATTCCCCGACGCCTTCCCGCCCCATGGACTCCCAATGGTGGATCTGCAATGGTATGCAGCATGGTAAACACCCGGACGTCCGGACCGGGTTCCAGACAGTCCAGTGTCTGGTGTCCGGTCCCCATGTCCGGATGGAGGCCCCTGGGGCAAAAATCAAAAAAAAAAAGGGCCGGCCCAAAACGTTTGTCGGGTCCTAGGCGCCCCTCGAAAAATAACGGGGTGATTTTTAAGTGTCCTTCCACCCCACCAAACATGACCTAGAGGTCCAGACACAAGACACTGCAGGTTTTTCAGTTGGCGGGTTTCGCACAGGCCCGAGCAATTTCAAAGCGGCCCGCGCCCGCTGCTGCTGCCCGTTGGGGGCACACACACACACACACACACACACACACACAGAGAGAGAGAGAGAGAGAGAGAGAG